GGGCGGAAGAACGAGAGAACTTAGTTTTAAAGACGTTCACACGCATGTCCGGCTACATCGCACTCGACTGCAAAATTTTGCAATACTGTGGAGCTCTTGCCGCTGGAGATTGGTTTCAAAAGATACCAACAAAACAAGGTCGTCTCCAAACAGCAACCTTGCCGTCTCAACGTCTCTTACGCTGACACACTCATCGCTCTGTCTGCGCGTGAGTATTCTCTCCATGTACAACACGAACACGAGAGAGTGCAGAACGCAGCCTTATTGGTGACCAGTGCCAATGCTGCAAGGTTTCGACTTAACGCCATTTTTTGTTTCAGCCACCTGCTATCAACATATAGTGATTAGATGACTTCTAGGGTCATCGATCCCCTATTTTTGTAGGCACACCCATGGATTGTTGCGCGGGATCCGCTTATACGCTTTCCTTAGGTCCTCGAAACACATTGACCGGATGAGGGAACTCCGACAATTTCTCAGCAATCTAGCGTAAGGCGAATATCTGGTCAGATATGCTCCGGCCAGACCTGAATTTACACTGCTCTTCTTTCTTATAGTCGGTTATTCCCGGGCAACTCTTTTCTAACACCCTGTAGCTTAGGAGTGATACCGAAGAGATGAATATAACTGATGGTTTTTCCATGTTTTTGTACGTTGGTGTAATTGTCACTTCCGTAGTAAATGCAGCTGTAGGCTGTTCATTCTGAACGCCCTTAGACTGTTGAACTTTGCCTGTATTCCGGATTCTATTGCAACGCAGTTTGTTTGTTTGTCATAGGACACCACGTTTCCAGCCTTTTGTTTTTGCCGTTCGCAGACCTTTCGCCAGACGACCTGTTCCTTAAGACATTGTGCGCCGAGGACAATACCGGCATGCTGTTCGTCGCCGCGCCGCTTTACGTGAGTTATTTCTCATCATCGTAAACGGCAGCATTTGTTACATCCTGTTTTCAGGTTATCGAAGAGCTGTGCATTGCCGAATCGTGTTCGCTGCTCGCACTGCTCGTCAAAAAGCAGGAAGCTCCATGGGCGCAGGTACTGCCTCTGAGACTTCTGCTGCGCCTCGGATACGAGTATAACTGTAACTTGGGCCATTACGCTTTCAGCTTTTGCATTCTTTCTTCAGGCTACCCATGGCCAGCAGTATCCATCATTGAACGCGACTGCGTCTTCTTTAAACTCGGTCACACTGTCATGTCCTTGCTTAACGTATTACCTTCCATTATTTGATTGTCACTGTTTACGGAAACAGAGTAATTCTGTTTTCAGGACTTTCGGAATTTCAGTTACAGTATTAGCAGGATAGCCGGCTGTTACGTGACACTGTCTGATACATCGGTCAACATATCGTTTGAACTGCGTTCCTACGAACAAGTACGGCTTCATACAAGTCTTTTTGTGGAAATTGTGTGAACACAGCCGCATCGTAGTCACACTGTCACGTATCGACTTCTGCATTAACATCTTCACGTTTGTTTAGCTGAAGAAAGTTTTCGACTGCAATGATGAGCACGTGATCGCGTGGAGTACCGATTTTAGCATATCAGCTGATTCGTACCTCGTCTGCGTCGAAGACAAAAAAAACGGCGGTACTTACCGAACTCAGAAGCTACTAAAAGTCGGCACACCAGAAAACGGTATGTAGCGACAGGTAATACTTTAACTTGACTGACTATTTGACCGATCATTGATATTAGTGAATATTTATTGGTAAATATGAATGATGATGACGTCTTGGTAAGTCACAAATAAGTCACAAACGGGAAGACAACGAAATATTCTTTAATTAAGGCCATCTGACGTTTCAGACCAAGGAAATATGAATACTGTAATTTATTCTGTTTTAAATTTATAAGTTTATTTATTTCACCTTGCGAGACGAACTCTCAGTCTGCCTTGCAGTAAAATACGATCATTCGATTTTGGCTAAATGGTGCGCTCCACTCCGTTTCTGCTAATTCTTGTGTAATACGTATCGTTTACTTAAATCAAACTATCTATAAGGCAAGTTCACATACGCATCAAGCGTAAGATTCAGCTGACAAATTCTTCTGTAACTTTTTTCTCATAAAATAGGCACCGTCTGTCTATTCATCGGTAAAGTAAAATAAGGGAAAAGAATGCATGTTATGGATTCAACCATATTCTTTGTCACGTTTTCTTTCTAGCAATTCATGCAGTATAATCTAATCTGTGACGTTGTCCTAATCTTTGTTATGATGTCGTCAGTCAGAAATGCTTTGATAGAAGCAACAGGTTTGGCCGTGTGTCAGACTTAATGTGTTGCGTTACGCATTCGTTCCATGTTTACTAGTATTCGTTTATCGTCCTTAAAAAATAAAACGGATCAACCAGGATTCTCAACCAGCGGTCTTTCAGCTGCGAGTTCGATGCTCTCCTGATTGAGTTACTGTAGTTGTAAGACGCATGACCTGCGCTATGCAGTTCTCGAAAGCGCTTAATTCCTGTGCTGAATCGTAGCAAGAAGGAATGAAGGAAGGAAAGTTTGCAACCTTGTAAGGTTGGTCTTCTATACACTTACATTATGGGGCCAGTTCTGGCACCCTTGTTTTCATGAAGTTAGTGCTGATCTCCATTTCCTTGCCGTCAGCCACGAGTGCTTATATTTAACGACAGAATCGACAGCAGGCTTGTGACAAGCATTGTTTTTCTTCTCGTTCCTTCCCACTCATGAACGTCAGAACGAGGAAAGGTGAGTGACCCTGACCTGGGCTCGAACCCAGGAATTTTTGTTTCTGAGTCAGAGCTCTACCGACCGTGTTTCCCCGGTCTAAAAAGCTTATAATAAATTCCTTGTTCAAGAAAATTCGTGGTAAAAACAAAGATTGCTTACCGCGGGAATCAAACTCGCAACTTCGACGCACTGAGCCACCACGCCACCGGTAGTCATTATCAGACTGGTCAGCTGCGAATGAGCATGACATCGAGTTGGATTATTTGCCTTCAAAGCTGAAGTGAAGTTGAAGGTTGCAGGCTCGATTGATCAACGAGTTCTAAGAATTTTCCGTCACTGATTCGAAGACCAAATGACTCGCACTATATGCCTTAGTTCAGCTAACTGAGAATCAGGTTGAAATTTAGCTGTTCAAAAGGAAATGAACGTTTTTTGAAAGACTTGTTCGAAACTTGAAAGTACTTGACCATTGTCAGACCATGATAGATTACCTGATTTAGGAGGTCAGTTCATGGTTTAGTAAGACTTCTTGAAATGCATAGCGTTGTTATGCACTTTAGCCCTTCCGATAAGTAAAAGATGCATGCATAAAGTGAAATAGCTAAATCTGACGTGACTAACTTAGAGTACGGAGCGGTTAAGAAGTGCGAAGTTTCGTGAATAGGCATCATCTGAAAACAAGTCGCATGAACGATTAGAAACGGATTATTAAGTAAAACAAATCCTCGAAAACGAGCAACAGCATTTTTTGACGACAGTGAAAGGGAATTAAGTGAGAGGTTTTTCAAAAGTTCATGTCGATTCAGTGCCAAACAGTAAAAAGAATCTTCTGATTTAGCGGCTATAATCGTGAAGTGAGTTTATATGCTTCGAATAAAAGCTAACGTTTCAATCCAGAGTGCCACTGTTCATAACGATTAGTACAAACGGCGGTATCGAAAACTGGCAGTATGTTAGTAAACCGATAAGATCAGCGTTTATGTATAACTATGTCTATGCATAGTGGCATATCCGCAGGTATCTGGACAGGATTTTGTTCGGGCCTGCTCAGTGATGCGATTTTGCATCCATGCACTACAGATGCTCAAATGCCATGAAGCCATGGGTTTTCTTAAATGGTCCTCTAAGCCGCTAGAAGTAACTGGACGGTGCCTGTACGCCTTGTAAATCGGTAGTAAAAGAAAAATGTTTTTCTATATGCACTGCACCTTATCGTCATTTTAAATTTATTCTGATATCTCCGCCTTGTTCATTTGGGTTCTTGTAATTGTCTGTCCCTAAAATCCATCCTATTTTTTCTTCCCGTCGGAGCTGCCTGATGAACGACTTTTGCTGAAGCGTTGTATGCGTTTTCTCCAGAGGGAAATGCTTATTATGTTCTTGTGGCTTAGTAGACAACCAACATAGAGTAAGGCCGTGATAACAATGATACGAAATATCGTACTTAAAGGTAAAAGAAAAAGTAATTATATCGAACGTGATTTAAAACAAGCAGTTTAATAGCAGTAATTTGTTGTAAGTAAACAGAAATCCTGTTGTGTACCTTTGTGTTAGCGGTATTTGTTTTTTTCCAGAAACTGGGTGCACGTTTGTCATTTTCAATGCTTCTCTCAAATCTTCAGCAAACCCGTTGGAAATAAGAACTGTTGAAGACGGAATCATTTTGCAAGTGAGATTTTGCAAACGAGTTGAAATTGTCTGCAAACGTCATGTTACTTGTCGATTGAAATTATTCCGCTATTTTACACGAATATTTGCAGGTTATTTGTATTTATTGATATTTGTGTTATTTATTTGGGCCTAAAGATCAAAGAGCATCAGACCTAGATAGTCTTAATTGCATTCACGACTAGAAGACGGAGGCGTGTCACTATCTGTTGCGATTGAGCACCCTCAAGGTTAGCGTCCTCCTGTGCTGGATTTTTGCTCAAGCCTATTTCATTCCAATATCGTCATAGCCTTCCAGTATACCTTGCAACTCTTATAACCGGAGATTGATCATTATACATCATTCAATCCGTACGATTTTAAAGATATTGGCTTTGGCTGCCATTGTATGGCGACGATAGTAGTCGAACCTTCCGCCAGTGCTATCTTTTGTTTTCTGTGCAAGAGCCTCGTTATCCCACTCATCTCCTTAAAAACAGTATCACGCAGAATCAGTCTCTCCCAAAGAAGCTGAAGGCAGCTTTTATCTTCCCACCTGCCAAGAAAGAGGAATACACACTCTAGTGGTTCTCCAGTTTGATCGTCCTTTAGTGGATACCAAGTAGCTAAGTGAGCGTCTTCTTCAAGGCTTTGCTGTGTAGCACTGTTTTTTTTACTTTTCTGACTTCTGACTGTTTGTTTTTCTTGACTTATTTCTTCTCATTTGTAAATAATAAATGTGAATTGTCATATAAGGCTAACAAAACTTGAGGATATAAATTACTGAGATTCACGCATCTGAACGACGTGAAATGGTCTCCTAGATTTTTATTAGGCATTTTTTACTGTTGCGGCGATGGTCATATTCCTCGTCGCAAGCACGTTTTCAAAACTGTTTAAACGTTTTTTATTGTCCCTTGCTTGTCTTGTTTTGCACAGCCAGGTCGTCAGTTAACCGGTTGATGGCATTCAATAATTTGAGAAGACCGTCAGAAAACACATGGACCTCTGCTCTCTTTGTTGAATGAAATAACCCAGTGAGAGAAAGAAAGTTGGTTCAAAGCATGTGGAATCCATTTACTAGCGGCCAATATTTTGATGCATTTTATGCATAACTTGGCAAACATTCGTTCATATTCTGCTAGTGCGGAAAATATTACTTTGCCACAGTAACCATTGTTGTATAGTTTGATTCTGAGGTACCATTTTAACAGGCCAGAAATCACTAAATGAGCAATTCTGTGGCACAGACTTTATTAGAATTTGGTGACAACAGCCTCAATATCAAACCCACTGCTCAGTAGATCATTCCCATTCGAGAAAGGTTTTAAACATTTTTCCATTTTGCCTTTGCGTTGTTGTATCATACCAAGTCAGGAATCGAACTTTCGGCACTTAATGAGAATTTATTTAAACAGGAGCTGATATAGTATATCAGTCAGTATATGCTGATCAGTTTGCATCATCGTTTGATTAGGACACCTTACAGATAGGGTTGTTGAAAGTCGTCAAAATAGGTTTCATGACATTCGAGGTCAAGCAATGTTTCCGCGCAATACATTAGCACTGACTGTGCTAGTATGTTAAAAATTACTATACTCGTTCCTCTTTTTACTGCCTGATCTTTCCATGCGCTGTCAAAGTTTGCGAAATTTTCTGATGCTAGCCAAGCATCTTGACTCACTCCAGATTCAAAGCCATCATCGTTGGCCAAGGCTACTGAACACTTAATTCTTCACTCCTACAGCCGTGGTTTTTGTTGGTTGTAAATGTCAATAGGCAATCTGTGAAATCGCTTATCAGCGCTGTATCATCCTCATACAAGACTTCTGCTTCATGTTATTCAAGTTATGAAATGTAGAAGTTATTTAAATTCAAATGTTCTATTATGTGAGAGTATGTTTCATGTTCGAACGGTGTTTCGAAAAGTGATGAAAGATAAATGCATTATAGTAGATCTATGCACAAGCGAGCAGTCATTTTTTTCAATTCTCCGTAATTGTTCAAAGCGTCGTTTCCAGACGTTCATATGGCTATCTGAAAAGTTTTTCGTTATTTGTGTAATATCTCTGCTGTGTCTAGGTAACGCCTGAGTTAATGGAACAAATTCAGGAGAAGATTAGCGAACGGAAAGACTTTCTTTTCGAGCCCTCATCAGCCTGCGAGGGCTTCGCAGGCCTTCATTCGCTTAGAATCCAGTGGTGTTCTAACGTCTTTGAAGATACGAACAGGTCAGTTTTATGCTAAGTGAACAGTGCAGTTTTTCGTTGCCGTGCCATGCCTAGCGGCTGAATTCGCATACT